GTATGTCTGGGTTTTTTTAAATGCAGGAGAGGAGGTATGGCTGTACAAACCTTGGTCTCAGAGAGCAACCCTGGACATTCATTAGCAGTATTACCGAGAGGTATAACAAGAACTTCTTCTGGTTCCTGTACAATAGCGGGTGGGGCAGACAAATGGTTTGATGATGAGTTTGTTGATGTCTCAGCTTGGTTCTCAATCTCACTCAGAGTAGGCACACCACTTTTGATTGACTTTCTTCCTGTAAAGAAAAAATTACACCATTGTAACATTACAACCAGTGTATGGCTAGATTAATCGCAGGACTAGATTATCTGCCAAAGCATAATGGCTAAATTGCATATTTATTTTTTAACAATAGACATTGTTAACATATAAATACATGGCATTGGTAAACCATGGTAATACTGCTATGCTCCAACGGCCAGGGGAGAAAACTGCTTACAATGCTGGGTGTCGGCCTATGAGAAAACAGACAGGTGTATTCAAACTTTTGAGCGCCAAAGTCAACTTCAAGCACCATCTACAAAATAGTTCCATTTATAGCCTGCTCTTTTTCACACAAATTTTAAACTTTGTTAAATATTAAATATGGTACAACGGCAATTCTTCAATGTCAAAGAACAGCTTGAAAAGGAAACCAATACATCGTGCAATATACATCCGCACTTTAGTAGATTAAGATGCACATATTCAATGATAATGATGAAATTTATGTAAGGATATTGATGCCGAAGCTGTTAAAAAAACAAAAAAAAACATGTTTATTTTATGCAGTAAGAAATTACCTTTTCCATGGTTTTTCTTGACAGGATTGACGGGTGTGTCGGGAGGTGTTGGTGACGGTGTACTCGGTGTACTGCCTTGACTGGGACTACTCATACATGCATTGGGTGGAGTAGGTGGGAGAGTGGATAAGATAGTCTCTACATCTTTACTTTCTGGGTGATTAGGGTTGGATGTCTGCACACTGCGTAGATATGCTACCTATGATACAAAGGTGAACATGTTGATTAATGAATATGCAAATTAACTATTTGTAAAACAAAGTTGTCTCAAGTAAATAAAATTGTTTTTACCATCTCAAAATTTTGAAAGTGAAACGATAAATTGTATTGTGTTTTTACATTTCAATTTAAGCAAAAATACTTAACGATGCAAAAATTTGTTATTTAAAATTGAAACAAACTACTAAGTCTTGTTAAATTACAATTTACAACAACACTGACAGAAAGAGAGAGGCAGAAATAATTTGTCAGTATAGAATTTCAAATATCAAACATTGTAAAGTACAGCTGCATTTGCTGTTAATTGTTTCATATATTTACAGAACTTAGATGGATCTCTGTGTACACATATGGGTAAAATATTTGGACATATATGCTATACATGTATGTGCAAAAATGATAAAGAAAAGCAAACATGGAAAAATAGAAGATATTAATTTAAAACGTCTGATGTTGCTGAATACATGTATATTGTACAAATTCTAAAAAACAAAATAGTATATAAATGCCAAACTATTTCCATTTGTAATCTTCCTAGGCAGAAAAAAAAATATTTGCCTCTGATCCAAAGATGACGCAGTGACGCAGCTTTTTTGTTCTTTTATTTTTTTCACATTTTTACATTATTTCAGCAAAAACCAGAAAAAATGTTGTGAGTGTCTC